CACCCGCCATGCCAAGATTCAGCCCTTGCCGCCACTCACGCTTTTTCCACTTCTTTACCGAAAAGACGGTGCAAGCGCCACAAAACGAATGAGGCGGTCGGCTCCGGGAGACAGACCTTGGTATCGTCGTCGATGGAGCTTGGCCGCCTTCCAGCGAAAGACCAACTTCTGGCGTCCGACAAAGCCTTGGAATCTACTTGCCCTGCTGCATTTTCCTCATTCTCAGAAAGGGCCATTAAGCATACTCGACCCCATGAACACAGCTCCTACATCAACCATAGGGTAGCCGTGTTGACTTCTGGTGATGGCATGTCGACCATGTCAGATTTCGATACATTTACAAGAGCTCAGTACAGGATTAAAAATACAGTCAACGAGACAGTACGACTTGACAAGAGATTATCTACTAAAATATCTCTCAAGCAGGTTGGCCTTGCAAGAAAGCACTCGGGAGGTCAGAGAGTGCGTTGTGTTGATTCACAAGTGAGCGCATTCCCTGAGACATTGATATCTTCACCCCCAGATTTATCACTTCCAGTGTCTTTACAGATTCCGGTCGCATCAGATGGCATTATTCAAGTTTCTGCTGGCGTTACCGTGGGATTGAAGCGCAAACGTTAAGCGACAAAAACTCTTAAGGAAGCTTTTTCGTCTTTACATATTCATATTATACCTTAAAAAATCACATAATCTCGTTAAATGAAATTAGTATTGGGAGATCCAAGACTCCCTCTTTCCTTAGGATCCAGACTATCTGTCTGAAAATCCTAAATTCAAGAGTTTAGAGTCCAGGATGAAATCATTTAGAGATATAAACTCAAGAAGAACAGTCATCTCAGGATTTAATAAAAGTTGAATAAATATAAATGTTCCATTTACCATTGATGCGCAATGTGAACAACAATTAACGCATTATTAATTAGAGCCAGATCAACTCTTTAATCGAGCATAAGCTTCGGCAAACCCGAAGATCTTTGAATCCCGAGCACTGTACCCCCGGAGAACCGTACTAGCATGTGGCTTATCTCTTTGAGCGGCACAAGGCATCAAAAGGTCACTCGCCCCACTTCACTTACTAACCACACTAGTACCTGCGGGGTATATAAAGTTCTCGTCAGATAGCTGCTTAATTTTTCACCACCAAATTCATCAAAAACCTCACACAAATAGCCCCTAGCCTGTCGTAATTAAAACGATAAGCTCTTCAAAGATACGAGATAGCTTAGATAATCACAGCTTTAATACCCTGCCTTTAAGAGCAGCTAATGACCCCACCGGCGTGCCTAATTTTCCGCCCGAAGAGGGCCGCGGTGATGATTTTCAACCTTTCAAGTTAGAATATCATGATTTCAAGATCAACCCTCTGCCCAAGGAACCACTTGAATTATTCCAGCTTTTTATACCTATTTCCCTTATACAGTCATGGGTCGACTACACCAACAGCTAGGTCACTTACTTACTTAAAAATGCCATTATTAATAACTAGAATACCCCCCTTTCTAAACACTCACGCATCCTTAAATAGGAAGGCATCTCTACTTTAACGGCTTATATATGGCTTAGAGTCATTATTTACCTAGGGATTCATAGGGAAATATCAATAAAAGACCATTAGAGGGCACCTAGCCTAGGAGATTAGCGCCCTCTTCACTCAATTATTAAGTTCATGCCGCTACGGAAGTTCGAGCTAATCAACAGGTATTTCCATACTTTTGACTACACCAAAGTCGATGTAAGGAATAAGGGGGATCTTCCAAAGACCTTCCAAGCGGCTGAAGAGTGGTCTGACCTTATATAGAAGGTATTAAACAAGCTCTATCTTCCAGGGACTAATCTGACTGTAGATGAGTGTATGGTGCCGTTTACAGGCAGATCGAAAGAGATAACGCTTATTAAGGGAAAGCCTATACCGGTAGGCTTCAAAGTCTGGGTTATCGCCTAACAGGGCTTCTTTCTTCGGTGGCTTTGGCATGTAAAGTCATCACCATATACCGCTGTTATCGTTAACCTACCTATAGCGAAGCCGCAAGGCAAGAAGGGAAAGCTACGGACCGAGATCCCTCTCAGTAATACACAGAGCATCGTGGTTCACCTAGTAAAAAGGCTGCTTCCTTAGATATATCATGTCTTCACAGATAACCTCTTCTTGTCACCGCAGCTCTTCCGCCTCCTTCGGCAGCTTGGCTTTGGTGCCACAGGCACGGCACGCCCTAACTGCGGCATTAGCACCGAGATAAAGCGGATAAAAGAGACCGGCAAAGCTCCTGACGGCACGCCTTTGAGATATAACGAGGTCATATTGATCCCGATGCCGGATAAACAGGTATAGACGACTTTTAGCTGTGTTTCCCTTACTAATTTGTCCCTTTTTATTCCCCCTAGGTTATCCAAATCGCTTAGAAGGATAGCAGCGTAGTGCTCTTTATTTCAACTGTGCACAGCGGCGCCCCTCACAAGCGCACACTAAAAAAGAGGAAGCTGCCGGCTAAGAGAGGCACGAAGGCAGAGGCACAACAGCTACAGCGCCTTTTTAACGGGAATAGCTTCAAAATGATCCCTATACCTACTGTTGCCGCTCAGTATAACGATGAAATGAATCACGTGGACCGCGGTGATCAGATAAGGTCCTATACGACGTATGAGCATCGATTCCGCCGCGGTCCGTGGCAGGCGTTGCTTTGGAGCTTCCTCCTCAAAGTCGCACTTGCGAATAGCTTCATTTTGCAAAAGAAGACCCGGCACCCTCGTTGGAAGCCTTATAGCACGCTACGAGCTTGGAAGGAATGCATCTGCAACGCGATTTTCAACACATATGCTGCTGAAGGCGGCACAAGGAAGAGAAGTCGGTCAGGGAAGGAAGAAGACATCGAGGATATAGAAGCACGGCAAAATCACCTACAAAGAGATATCAATCATGTCCGCCGAGGCAGCTATTCGCCCTGCTTAGCTTGCAAAGGCTACCGGCAAGGGCAGCCTCGACCCTTTAAAAAAAGGAAGGAAAAAGGAGGCTATCTCGAGCCGATATCAGGAAATCAAGGGTGCCGGAAGACTAGGTACGGTTGCAAAGTATGTGATGTAGCGATTTGTAACAATGCTGACTGTTGGTACCTCTATCACACGCCAATTTAGGTGTGGGTGAATGTACCGATCGTCGCGATCATTTTGATTGGCCCCCGACCCCGGTCGTGACCTCACTGATGCCTTGTGCCGCTCAAAGAGATAGTATAAAGAGACGATAAAGTAGGTTGACATCAGGATGATGGTGATAACGGTGCGAAAGGAGCTAGCACCCCACAATAGGACACATGGTACGTACGTACGTAGTTGACACATGCCTTGATGCCCGTACTACGTCACCTGCTCTCAAATACTGGGTCTAACACCGACCCCTCTATTTTCAACGAAATGTTTTTGAGGATTACTATGCCAATAGGAACCGACAATTAAATACACCTCAACCTGTTCCCTTTTTCAATCAGTCACTTATCCATAGTCCCAAATTATTATCATGGACCAGCAAGAAACCTCCGAGCTCAATACAGAGAACAACAACCGTCTCTTAAATCGATATGGAATAGTTCCTAGCAGAGGGAAGCTTCTTCATCACCAGTTAGAAGTTAGTAGATATATTCTGTCTATAACCAGTAAGAATCAACCTGACTCAATGTTCAATGGAAGAGGATGAAGTATTTCGATTCGGGTGATTTTTCCCCTCATGCAAGCTCAGAGGTCTTCTGATATCGGGACTGTCGCAACTGGTAGCGAACACCCCATTCGACGGGATATATCGATCCCTACATGTTCAGTATCAGGCTCTAGCAATCTCGATGAAAGTACCGATCAGTATTTATTAGCTGAGGAGAAGACTGGCGAGCTGAAGCTTACTGCCCAAAGTCACCTTCAACAAGAGACGGAAGCCCAGCGAGAGAACGAGCGTCGTGAAACAAAGCAGGAACATAACTTCTAGATGTGGGCCGCCATGGCTTAGGTAGCCGACCCGCCTGGATCGGAAACAGAAACTTAATAGCATCAGAGGATACCCATCTGTTACATGAGAGGGTTCAATATGCCGAGAACCCTAGCGCACTTTCATCGCAATAGAAAATCTACAACTTACACAAAGTCATAATGTTTACAAACGACATAGCTACTATATGTTACAAATATACTGGCTTTGGCTATGTTTCCAAGCTCCAACTCAGTGTCTCGTTCTTCCGAGAGATGATGACAGTCATTACCGATGGAGGGCCATCAACAAGGCACTCAAATATATTCACCGAGACAAGATGGAGGGAGCTGTACTATCACTCGTATAGTAAATGATCTCATAACCGGCGTAGAATCAATCCTAGATTCAAGTTCCTTTATGTTTTATCACCTGATGCCCTCTGTTTCAAAATGATGTGTCGAAAATCCAAGTAGTTCTCCACGCCCTGCCGCCCAACTGCTCGAATGCATAGCAGAGACATCTTGCCAATAATGCCAGGAACCTGGGTTAGAAATTTAAGAAATGCTTAAAGTTGAAATAAAACTTACACTGCTTCTTAGACACCTAGTCTAACACACGTCAGATCTTACTTGGGGTTGAGATATGAACAGTGGCAAATAAATGATCAAGCTTCTACCCGCTTCCAAGTATACCCCGAGAGATGGCTCAGCTTAAACCCCCAGATTGCTTTTCGTAACTTACGTACGCAATACGGATCTACTTGCATCGCAGCCTCAGATAATCCTTTATCGTGATGGCACGCCGTGGTCAGGATCAAGCCAGAATAGTTAGATAATGCTACTGCGTCCTCGGCAAACTCATCATCTCTTTCACATGCTAGGTTTAGCACGTGCTTAAACAAGGCATTTGTAAGTGGGGTAACGTCAAGTGCAAGGTCCCAACAAATCGACTTAACTAAACTCAACAAAAAATAATACTATTATAAGGCTAAAAACTTATTAAGATATGGATGTTTTTTTAGCATAAGAATCACAATTCTACACTCCATAGAAACAGTGACCGCCTAAGCTAGAACATTAAAACATACATTTTCCCGGTGACGCTGCCTAACGATATATCTCCGCTACCATGGCGGGAACATCTCTCTGGGACTACATCTTCATTCGCGCATCCATATTTCTCTTACACCTTATCGCACCACTTAGCGTTACTTATTCATTAGTCAGCCTACTAGCCTGCCTTCCATTTCAGTTCCCGCGAGTACTACAGGCTTGGCTCTCTCTGGAGGCTCTTTTCTATTTGGCTATCTACCTACCGCTGAATAAATACCACCAGAGGGCCGCAAAACACCCCGTCCCGCCCTGCCGCGCCGATCGTCGGAAGTTATTCCTAAAATGCCACAATAATATTCCCGACCCGGCTCAGTACCTAAGAAAATGGTTCCGGAATGCGCCAGTTTCCGAGATTAAGCGCGATAATGTCAAGGACTTCTTCCGGTGGGCATTCTTAACACAGGAGACCATGACTCGACCTTTGACGAGGAATTAGAAGAGTATACCCAAGAGATAGAGAAGCTGCTGGGCAAGAAGCTAGAGCCTGGCCGCGGAAACGCCAAATGCCTCCGGTTGACTCTCGAGAAGGTAGAGATGTTGCATCGGAGCTTAACGTGGTATCTAGTAAGTTACTCACATGACTATGCGCCCAAGTACTGGTTCATGTACCCCAGGTTGCTAACTTTGTTCGTACTACCCTCTAGTGCGTGTTTGTTGTCGACACCATAGCGTCTATCTCTTTACGATACCACTCGTTCAACTTTCATCGCACGTCGTTTTCGCAGTTTTTACCACCTTTCCCCTACGTCTTTTCGCTCTATTTGCGACCTGCACCTCCCATGCGAACAGCCTTACTTACTGGCACCGTCCACATACGTCCAAGACAAGGCTGCCTATTCTATTCATTCACGGCATCGGCGTGGGGCTTTACCCATACATAAACTTCTTAGCCGATATCAATGCCCATGTTGCCGGGAATTCTTCAGATGGGCAGGTTGGCATCATCGCTATAGAAATTATGTCGGTAAGCTCTAGGATAACATACGAGGCAATGTTGAAAGACGAAATGTGCGATGAGGTTCGTCGCATATTGACCGCACATGGGTGGGAAAAGTGTGTCTTGGCATCACATTCGTAAGTACCACTCCTGAAGTGACTCCACTCCCTTACCTGTTTGACATTGACGGTGGAAAGATACGGAAGCGTGGTTGCCGCGCAACTCCTTCGTAGCCGGAGATCTCACAGCATATTGGCCCCGCATTGTTTATTGACCCGGTGTCTTTTCTACTTCATCTACCTGACGTGGCCTATAATTTTGTATGCCAGCTCTGTCCCCAAATAGACCGATGACACTGACTAAACTCTAATGCTTTAGATATGTAGACGGCCAAATCAACCTAATGAGTATCTACTCTCCTACTTTGGTTCCAAGGATATAGGCATAGCTCATACGCTATTCCGCCGTTTCTTCTGGGCTGATAACCTATTGTGGAAGGAGGACATCCGAGATCATCCCGTGACTGTGGTCTTGGCCGGCAGAGACAGTGTGATCGACACGAAAGCAATTCGGGCATATTTGCTGGGTTCAGACAATTGGACCTTAGAAACTACGGACTTAAGGGATTTCGGGCAGAAAGGTGATAGATTGGACGTGATCTGGTTTCAAGATCTGGACCACGGCCAGGTCTTTGATGAAAAGAGGACAAGAAGCAGTCTGGTTGAGATTGTTTGGACGTTTTGCAAAAAGTAGCCGACATAATTCGTTCTCATTACAGTGGTAGGTTGAAATGAGGTTATCGAATATGATGAGCAAGTTCTCCCGCTTTGCATAGAGGTGAACCTTCAATTTCCTATAAGTGGTCGGCTAGATCCTCCTGGCCTTAGCCGTCGATTGAGTCCTCGCAAAGCCCATCGATGTGTCCCGCACTCCCCAATCGATCGACCAACAAGGTATAGATAGCCAAAAAAGAGTTGCACAGAGCATAATAATGGCAACCTGGCAATCAGCCCGTAACTTTTCCCAAAACTCCAGTAGGGATAGCCCAGAATGTCAAAGCGATGATAATATAGAGTCCCACAAGCTGCAGCCTGCTTAGTACGCTCTAGGTATAGAAGCACAGGGGAACATAAACTTACCATGGCTCCCTCCAAATAGTTAGATTTCCCATCCTGCACCGTGGCCGTCACGACTAAAACAGATACAGCGAAGATAACTGTCTCAACTGCCCCAAGCATCAGCAAGCGTGTTGAAAGTTGCTTATGTGCTCATGATAACTCACAAATATTGAAATTCAGACCCATCGGCACATTTATTGCCCAACCCAAGACAACCAGCAACGGCGTAACCAGCAGCGCAATCTGGATGCTGGATCCGATTGCAACACCCGTGGCCTTGTTTCCACGTAACCAGTCAGATCACAATAAAACAACTAAGTAAGGAAGCAGGTTGCCACTCACCAAATCCATCTTATTCCTTACAGCCATCACACACGCCGTGGCGTGCTCGGCTGCGTTGCCGACAATGGGGATCAAGATCAAGCCAATAAAGCTCTTGCTAGTATGCTCGTCTTTGGCGATGCTGTCGATACTGCCAACCAAGTAATCTGCACAGAAGGAGATAACAACGGTCACGGCAACCAGTACCGCTGTAGCAGACCAAGGACTCATTACTGATTCAGGCTCGTCCGCCTCCTCGTCAAGGGAGGAAGTTCCACCGCTCCACTCGCTGAATAGATTCTTGTGCGTCCGCAGCTGGAAGCACAGATACAGGGCGTACAGCATAAGAAGGATGATGGCCGTCCCGTGTGAGTGCCAAAGGATGGATTCGGTTTTACCATGCTGATCAGAGCTGTCGAGGATGCTGTAGAGCTACATGTCGACATTAGTGTTCTTCCTGATGCTGATTGTATCACAGTTCTTTGAGGACTGTGCTCTAGGAGGCTGCTCACAGTAGCGGGAATGATCATTGAGGCGGCTGATAGCGCTAACAAGGAGCATGTTGTTTGTGCCATCGCACTGGTGAAGGTCTGCTCGGTGCCGTTGCCTGAGTCATCCTTCATGTTGACAAGGCCGCCGAGAAGAAAGCTACTGCCCATGACAAGAAGAAGATTGGATAGAATGGAACCAAGCATTGACGACTGCACGACTTCGATTTGGTTTTTCTTTAGGGCGACAATACTCACGATAAGCTCAACTGCGTTGCCAAAAGTGGAATTCAGCAGCCCTCCTAATGTCTCGCCAAGTGGGATAGAAATCTCTTCCGTAGCAAAGGATAACACCCCTGCCAGGGGAATAATGGCAATGAAGTTCAGCGAGAATACAGCCGCAGGGCTCCAACCAAGCACGCCAGCAATGATACCCAATGGCACGAATGGGAGAAGGACGTTGACGTAGTCTATCGCGTCAGTTCAGTCGTAGTTCAATCAACCAACAGGGACATGCTTACTGCTCATTAGCGTAACTTTAGTGATATGGAAAGTATTTGCTGGCCATCTGATCAGACGATTATGACTGTCTTTGCCAGGCGTGCTTGCGCCATCAAATAAGCGCCTTATGAATCCATGGCGCTCCTCATCCACGGGTAGTACGTGAAGCAGCGGGGATCCCTCGTAGTAGAGCCCAGGGTTGGCGGCTTCATGGTCGCTGGAGATGCGGTTGACCCTTCGGCCCGAGTTTCTACCTGACCAAGTGCGGCGGACCTGCTTGCGAAAGGCTGGGTAGGCTGCTTACGCGGAAAAGATTAGGTAACGATGGCGTGTGCAGCTCGGGCGCGAGTTTCAAATGATAGGAGCATAGTGGGATCTGAGGCTTCAATGCTTACCAATCATAGTTCTGTCACAGTTTTAAAACCCAAAAGAATTATGGAAAGGCAGGGTTGGATCAAGCGCTCACTGGCGTCTTGCCCATATTATATATCGAAGCGCCAAAAACGCGGGTGACAGAAACGCCACCAAGTCTCCATCGGAGACGGAGTGCAACATCGAGTTCGCATACGTACGTCCGCCACTCGAGTCACCTATAGAGCAAAATTGGGCCCAATCATTGGCAAGTGAACAAGGCAGACAACCTCTGCGCCCCTCTAAGGCTAGTTATTCTGTAGCTCGAAGCCGGAATAGGGCGCTCTACCATGGTATAAACAGGTTGCACATAAATATATAAACCCGTTATTCTAGTTCCACCAACGATGCCACGTCTCGATTCTTTGCAAATAAACAGTATTAACCCCCCCCCATTGTTTTCGTCACAGGCGCTATTCAAAAGAATCAATATCCCATTTAGAGAGTATCACAGCACGATGGTCCATTCAGCCGATTAAAACTCTCGCTGGTGCAGGTACTGGAATGACGTCGAGCACCGCAAGATAACCTTTAGATTTAATTAAATAAATTTCGCAACAGAAAGGTGGCCACTAGTTACTGAGCCCTGACCATCGACGTCCAACACCCGCTCCGATATCGACTCATCAGGACTGTTCACTGATTACTGCAAGTAACACTGCTGTTGGCACAGATCTCGTGACGTAGCCTAGCTCCTGGACGTAGATAGGGAAGAATAGACGTATAGCACTATTTGTTATAAGAATGCTCGCTAACGGCAGTTTAATTTATTCTGTAGCGAAAAACGATTTACTTAATGAAAGACTGATCCAGAAGTATGAATGGGTACTGACTGAGTACGAGAAAAACATCAAGTAGTGATAATCTAAAGCCGGGACTCGAGGTACGAGGTTGCGCCTCCTCAACACTTTTGGAACACTCACTTAATTGATTTGCCGTCAGCATTTCAAGGCAGTATGCTCATAAACAAGATATGCTTATGGAGGATTTTTGAGCATCACAATCCGACAGCGGGGCGTGTTCCTCCTCTGCCTACGGGTTAGCCCGTAAGGCTGTATATGATCTCATTGGATACTGTCATATCATGGCTATTGACGTACTTGTTACGTACCAGTCGTCGCGCCTTTCACTGTCAACCCCGCCTTCCCAACATTTCAACGTTGTCCTTTGTTCTCACACGCTGAACAGACTTATCTCATCGGCGCTTAATAACAACCACTGCTGAATTGAGCTCACTATGCGTGAGATTGTGAGTCTGCTTCTAATCATGCCTTGGAAGCTCCACAAACTAACCTTGAACTCCCTTTTCGCTATAGGTGCATCTTCAAGCTGGCCAATGTGTGAGTATCACGCCCTTCTCGTTACATTTCTTTCTCATTTCTTCTTAATGCAGCATATTAACCCTAATAGGGCAACCAAATCGGCTCTGCCTTCTGGCAGACCATTTCGGGCGAGCATGGTTTGGATAGCAGTGGCATGTAGGCAACCTATTCAAAACGCCACTTAATATTCATCCTTCTCACGCATCAATCTAGGTATAATGGGACCTCCGAACTACAGCTTGCGCGCATAAACGTCTATTTTAATGAGGTGCGTGATATTGCGTAACCTATTCTAAATTATTCTCGGCCTCTGATCGAGTTCGCATAGACATCCAGTAACAAGTATGTGCCACGTGCCGTGCTCGTTGATCTAGAACCTGGCACAATGGATGCGGTGCGCTCCGGCCCGCTTAGCCAGCTCTTTCGTCCCGACAACTTTGTCTTTGGACACTCGAGCGCCGGAAATAACTGGGCTAAGGGTCACTACACCGAGGGCGCTGAGTTGATTGATCAGGTACTGGACGTGGTCCGTCGTGAGGCCGAAGGCTGCGACTCCCTCCAAGGCTTCCAAATCACCCACTCGCTCGGTGGCGGTACGGGCTCCGGCATGGGCACGCTGCTGATTTCCAAGATTCGTGAAGGTGAGATTGATACCACTGATGTGACGCACATTTCGAAGCACTTTCTCTCACAGTTCTAACCGCCTATTAAGAGTTCCCGGATCGTATGATGGCTACCTTCAGTGTAGTACCGTCTCCCAAGGTGTCTGATACCGTCGTGGAGCCGTATAATGCCACGCTTTCGGTCCATCAGCTGGTTGAAAATTCAGATGCGACTTTCTGTATCGATAATGAGGCTCTGTATGATATCTGCAAGGGTACCCTGAAGCTGTCGAATCCTTCCTATGGCGACCTTAATCACCTTGTATCAACCGTCATGTCTGGGGTGTCAACTTCACTGCGCTTTCCCGGACAGCTAAACTCTGACCTTCGCAAGATGGCCGTTAATCTGGTAGGAATATCCGTTTTATCAAGGCACATATCGCTGTAATCGAAGAATGTTGTGGCTAAGCATTCCTCCTCCTCGTCTAGGTTCCCTTCCCCCGCCTACATTTCTTCATGGTTGGCTTTGCGCCCCTCACCAGCCGTGGCTCGCACTCGTTCAGTGCTGTCTCTATCCCCGAGCTTATCCAGCAGCTGTTTGACCCAAGGAACATGATGACGGGCTCTGATTTTCGAAACGGCCGTTACCTTACTTGCTCTGCCATCTTTCGCGGGAGGGTGTCTGCGAAGGAGGTGGAGGACCAGATGCACAAGATTCAGCAGAAAAACTCGGCTTACTTTGTTGAATGGATTCCTAATAACGTGCAGACGAGTCTATGCTCTGTCCCCCCGCAGGGGTTGAAGATGTCGTCAACTTTTGTCGGTAACTCGACTGCCATCCAAGAGATCTTTAAGCGCGTTGGCGAGCAGTTCACCGCTATGTTTCGCCGCAAGGCCTTCTTGCATTGGTATACTGGAGAAGGCATGGACGAGATGGAGTTTACGGAGGCTGAGTCGAATATGAATGACCTGGTATCAGAGTACCAGCAGTATCAGGACGCCGTCATCGACGACGTCTATAGCGTGGAAGAGTATGACGAGGAGGAAGTCCCCGCCAAGCTCGACGCTTAGTCCATCGCAAGCTTGTGGTCGGACAGCACATGGCTTGTCATAGTGGGCTCACATAAGGTCATGGCGCCCTGGAGAAGCAGCGACTACTGAAGGACAATCATTGTATTCCCAATAGGGCTTGGTGGTTGCTAGGCAGTCCAGTTAGTTCGCGCCATTACGTATTAAAGATCCCACATAGCTCTCGAGTGGTTGAAAGACGTCTATCTACCTTAAACAGAGCCTTGTAATACGTCAGATAAGAGACTCATTATCCTTAACGGTCAGGAAAGCCATACACAGGTGATGTTGGAAAATCCGGGGATCCCCCTTCCCTTCAGGGTTTAGACTGTTAGTCTGAAAGTCCTAGATTTAGAGTTCAAAGTCCTAGATGAACCCATCTAGAGATATAAACCCGAGAACTCTCATCTCAGTAATGAACAATCAAGTTTTACAAATATATATTTTTTCACCCAGCACTACTGCGCAATATAAACAACAGGTTATGAGCCCGGGTTAGCAAACACCGGGTTTCTCTTCTGAATCAAAGAACCGAACTTTAACTTCAACTCAAGATGACGTCACGACGAGCCCCACCTTCCACCATGCGAACTCGCAACACCATCAGAGTATCGCCTGCATCCGAATCGTCGCGACCTGGTGCTTCGGGTCAAGACAACACACCATCCTCAATGTATGACAGCACCATGGTCGTCTCCGAAAAGAACACTCTTTTCCTTCCGCAAGAGCTCAAACTAGGCGGACCCTCCAACTGGGAACAATATTCCCCAGCTCAGAAGGCAATTCTTCGAATCAATGGTCTTGAAGATGCTGTCTTTCGTGATTACCCTCCCGAGGAACAGCAGACTATAGATCAAAAGATCAGGGCGGCAAAAGCTGCCGTCTCCATCCGAGGTAACTGCACTGGAGAAGCACTCAGTCAACTAGTCGGGATTGAGAATCCGCAAGAGATGTACAACCTTCTCCAGGCCTATTGTATTGGCACGGGCCCAGTTCTCCTGCAGACAACACTTTACCAGTTCATCCGGATCAAAACAAGCTCTTACGAGACAATTCCACAATTCAATGTCGACTTTGAACGACTCGTCAAACTCCTCCTCGAGCAGAAAGAGCCAATCTCAGATACCCTCAAAAAGGTTGTTTATCTGACTGCCTGCGAGAACGAGTACCCCGACTGGACTGCCAGACAGCGGGCTCTCCTACGCTCTGAGCATCCGCCAACACTACGATCAATGCAGCAAGATCTCATTGATGAAAACAGGTCATCAGATGATGATGATAGTCAAGGTACTGCCTCTACGTACTGGGCTCACAGTAAAAAGACTGGAAGGAAGGGCCCGACCGCAAGAAAGCAAGAGGCAAGTGGCCGGAGGAGAGGCTCTTCAAAGAACCGACGAGCTACGAACAAACCCAGCCAGGAAATCAATCATCGGATCGGCAAGCACAAGGACCATACCTGCACGAATTGCAAGAAGAGAGGACATCACGAAAATGATTGTTGGTTCGCCCATAAGAATAAGCGACCCGACTGGGCAGTCCGCCTCGCCAAGGAACTCATGGAGCATGATCTTCAACGCAACAACACCAAGAATCTCCATATCAAGGAATCAAATCACATGACAGTCGAGCGATCTTTTCTGATTCTTGAAGACAGCGTCTCAGACGAGCTACCTATGGACAATACAGAGGCGTGTAAGGTCTCCCTTGATAACATTTCTTCACCCACGGCATGGCTGTTCGACACAGGTTCGTCAGTCCACATCTGCAACGACCAAAGTCTATTCACAGAGTTGCAGCCTGCAACCCGAACGGTCCTCGTTACGGGCGGTGGGAAGGTGTACCCATCCGGCCGAGGGACAGTCAAAATCTGCTTCATAAACAAATGGGGCGATCAGGTCCCAGTCAACCTCAAAGACACGCTGTTCATCCCTGAGTTTCCGGTAAACGTCATGTCAGGGCTCAGGCTGTACAAGAACGGCGCTGGATTGACGGTAACGACATATACGACCCAACAGGAGACGTCTTTGGTCTCCTCCGCATAGGAAGGGACGGTCTATACGTCAACACTGAGGTCGGAAAGACTGCCGTTTCAAACCAGGCCGTCTCCGAACTCCAGCCAGAACCATGCAATCACCACATTGTTTCATCAAAGCAATGCCTGGATGTCGATCTTTGGCACCGAAGACTCGGCCACGTCAACATATATCAGGTATCGCAGACTGCCAAAATAACCAGAGGAATGTTCTGTGACAGCCACCACAATCATGAACCTTTCAATTACTGTCTCGCCTGCGACATCGCGAAAGCCCTACGATGGACTCCACGAAATAAACGGAAGCGAGCCTTGAGGGCCGGATTCATCCATGTTGACACCTTCAAAGTCAATCCACCGGGCATTAGGGGCGAACGATGGGGAATGATTACCACAGATGACAGGCATCGAATGAGATGGGCCTACACATTCACGAGGAAGGGGATGGCTTCGGAACTTCTAGGCCAGCTCATCTCCAAGATACAAACTCAGTATGGCATCCAAGTGTACGCAATCCAGATGGATGGCGGCTCTGAGCTCTATGGTGCGTCTCTCAAGAACCTCGAGTACACTCACGGCGTGAAGATCATCAAGACGACACCATATACTCCTGAATTTAACGGAGTTGCTGAGCGCTCTAACCGCATCATCTTTGACAAAGTCAGAGCAACCATGGAATCGGAAAGAATCCCGATAGAGCTCTGGCCATTGGTCCTGGAAGACATGGTGCGCAAGACAAACGTGACAGCCACCAGGGCAATTGATGACCTCACTCCCATGGAAAGCTTTCTCAATGAAGCCTTGCCCGGACAAGACAACAAGCCGGATCTGTCCGGAGAACGAATCTGCGGCTCACAAGTCACGATACACATACCGCAAGAACGAAGATTGAGATCACATAAGTTTGGTCCAAGAGGAGAGGCTGGAATCTACCTATGCATGGAAGGTTCACAGATTTACACCTGCTGGGTGCCCTCTCGCAGAAAGGGACATCAGATCGTCCGCTCTGCAAATGTGCAATTCTACGAAAAGGTTAGGGAGACAGAACTCCTGACCGAAACTGAGCATGATGTTGAGCCGGAAATCCGCAAGAACGGAGCTCCCATCTCAAGCCGGCCACAGTCCGTCACGGAGCAGACAAAGACTCCAAGCCCACAAAGGTCTGAAGTGAACAATCTTCAGCATGCTGAGGTGCATAATCCCCAGCATGGACAGACGACAACATCCATGACATCAGCTAAGCTGCCCGATCTCCGAAAAGAGGTGATCACTGAGCCCAAAACAATGACTGAAGCGCTTCAAGGTCCGCAAAGGGAGCATTGGCTCAGAGCAATACACAGTGAGCTGCGCAGTCTCCTCAAGAAAGGAACTTGGCGCATGCTGGACCGCAACCAAGCTCACAATAGGCCACTTACAGTCAAGTGGGTATTCAAGGTCAAGAAAAACGAGGAAGGCAACCTGGACAAGTTCAAGGCGCGGCTGGTGGTCAGAGGCTTTGAACAACAGTTCGGCTTTGACTACAACCAGACCTTTGCCTCAGTTGCCAAAGCGGCGACCTGGAGAATCCTCCTCACCGTTGCTGCCTGTCTTGACTGGGAGATTGAGCAGATGGACGTGTCGACGGCGTTCCTGGAAGGGGACCTCGACGAAGAAGTCTTCATCGAAATGCCGGAAGGGCTTGTCGAGTATTTCGACCAACACCCAGAAGACCGTCCGCCAGGATTCTCAACCGAGAAGATCTGCAAACTGATCAAATCCCTCTATGGACTCAAACAGGCGCCTCGGCAATGGCAAAAGAAGCTGAAGGAGACCTTGGAATCCCTTGACTTCAGACAAGCAACGTCTGACACGGCCGTATATCACAATCCCACAACGGGAGTGATCATCATCACATATGTGGATGACTTCCTCATCATGGGCAGCAACAAGGAAGCAATCCAAGGGTACAAAGCCCGCCTGGGAGAGATCTTCACAATGACTGATCTCGGTCCCGTCAGCCATTTTCTTGGAGTAAGAATAACCCGAGACAGGAACTCAAGGCTGATCTACCTTTCCCAGGATGCATATTTTACCAGAATACTAAAGAAATTCGGCTTGGAAGATTGCCGACCGGTCAAGACCCCCATGGAGCGAAATTCACTCTCGACACTGCAACCAAGAGACAATGGCGACTCGGCTTCTCCAGAGGAACGAGAAGACTATAGCTCGAAAACCGGCTCGCTGATGTATGGAATGACCCAAACCAGACCCGATTTAGCTTTTCTACTCTCGGTACTCTCAAGATACATGTCGAATCCATCACCAGCACATTCACGATTGATCAAAAGAGGTCTTCGCTACCTACAGCAGACAAGAGACCACGGCCTGGTGCTTGGGGGCGTCAAGAAAGATCCTGAATCCGCTTGGAGCATCACAGCTTGGGCCGACTCGGATTGGAAAGGCGACACAGTTACGGGAAGATCGACATTTGGATGGCTCGTTCAACTTGAAGGATCTACAGTCTCATGGAGGGCCAAACGGCACGAAACAGTAGCACTATCGACCACCGAGGCTGAATACACAGCACTCTCCCAATGTGCCAGAGAATTGGCCTGGACTAGGAACCTCTTCTCTGAACTGCTCCTACCACTACATATGCCTATTCCACTGAACGGCGACAACCAGGGTTCCCTAAAGCTATGCAGAAACCCTGAGCTTCACCAACGGACAAAGCACATTCCGTTAACCGAGCACCATATCCGAGAAGAAGTTGAAGCCGGGAACATTGATGTGCAATACGTCAGCACACATGAGCAGGTAGCAGACGGACTCACTAAACCGTTGAACACCGTCAGCCATGGCCACTTTCTAGAAGCAATTCGAGTTAGTGCATGTCCGATCGAGGAAGCAGGTCGTATTATTTGGAGTACTGAAGTCCACGATGACTCTGTGCCCTGAAGACAAGGTGGATGGGGGCGTGTTGGAAATTCCGGGAATCCCCCTTCCTTTCAGGGTTTAGACTGTTAGACTGAAAGTCCTAGATTTAGAGTTCAAAGTCCTAGATGAAATTATCTAGAGATATAAACCCGAGAAGAACTCTCATCTCAATAATTAACAATCAAGTTTCATAAAATATACTTTCACCCAGCACTACTGCGCAATATCAACAACACAGGTACACCACCATGGATCCATATGACTTGGGGTTGACCTTCCGGCTCAGCCAGGCCACCTTGGCAATCTGGACTTCATTCTCCCGGTTTAAGGCTTCTATTGCTCCGGGGAGGATGTTAAACTCCTGGTCAAAGACGGCCATACGATTCATGCTATCAACTTTGATAGGATATAGTTGGTCCCGAAGGACTCTTGCACCTGGAGCTTTCCTGGTTTCAAGGATGGTCTTGATCTTTTGTATTTCTTCTTCATTCCTACCCATAATCCTAAGGCGGGTGGCATTCCGTCCATCTCTGGTCACTGCGACGCATCGCCAGTGAGGTTGGTCACTCGACTGTCGCATCTGCTGCTCCACGGTCTTACGAATCATTGTTGGTGTAACGTCTCCAAGATGGTCTTCAGGAACTCTGGATGTGTCGACTGTGCAGAACACCGGTTCTGGAGTTGCCGATCGGGCTGCAGACGAAGATTGACTGGACATGCTGGTGGATGTCATCTTGGCTGCGTCTGCATACGATTGAACCGACGACCGGGGTGTTTCAGTCTTGTTCAGCATGTCTAGCTGTAGTCGAGTCTGCTCCAGCTCACCGCAAACCTGGGTGAGCTGGTCTCGGACTTGCGATAATTCTTGTGCCATCTGGGCCGTGGCCCTGGTGACTTCCTCGGCCATGCGATCTCTGAGCTTGGTGAACTCGAACTGAAATTCGGCCTTCATTGCTTCGATTTTCTTGTTCAAGTCCTGCTCTAGTAGTTGCTTCAAGCTCTGGACTGCCTCGACCATACCACCAGCTGACTCGGGGGCAGCCTGCTTCCGAGCTCGGCTCTGTCCCAGAGCTCCCTCACTGGTCTCACCTTCTTCCTGCCATTCCGTATCGCCATTTTGCTGCTCCATCTCCAATACCTTCGTCGTCCTGACCCTCAGCGCTCGCAATAGTCCAGACCATTTGGACTATTAGTCCAGACTGCAATCCAAGATCAATAATCAATCCGCGGCGGGCGTTCGTGGATTGACGACTAGGATGATGCGTCCCTTGAAACGAACCGTGTTGATCTGGATCGCACCAGTAAATTGATCAGAAATATCCAAAACAAAATAATTGGCACAGCAACAATCATGGGCACCCTGGTTTTGTAACACCACGCCAACAACCTAGCGTACTTAGCGTCCACACCGGGCGTCCGTATTCCCTGCACTGATCTACAGTCTGGACTAATACTTGGTAAGGTCTAGAGACCGACCTCCCTTGCTTTCCGTCAGTCACCAGTGACCGTGCCTTAAGCACGGGAGGTAGGGTGACTAGGCAAAGGGTCGGTTGATAAGGAAAATTAAAAATACCTCTTTTTCTTAGGCCTAATCTTACTATTAAAGGTATCTTTAATTGCAAAAGTCATGTGACTTTTATCTAAATTTCTCTATAAAATTGGAGAAATAATATACTTCTAATTTCATACCATAACTTATAGAAATATAGGTACCTTTATTTCCCTTGTCAACCGACCCTTTGCCTGGTCACCGTACCCCCCGTGCTTGAGGCACGGAGCTTGCGGGTGAATCAAGTTAGGGGGGCCGGTCTCTAGGCCCTACCCGAGTAGTCCAAATGGTCTGGACTATTGCGAGCGCTGCTGACCATCTTCCGCTGAGGGCGATGATATCCCCCGCCCGAACCATCCGGATCGTCTCCCATGACGATGATGACGTCTGATGCGGGGTTCGCAACACCAGACATCCACTAAGGAGCCTGAATCTCCGCCAGGCAGTCCTCAGGACTTTTGAAAGTGATAAATAGGATAACTAGAAGTTATTTTAAAAAGAAGATCGTTTTTCACAATTGTGATCAAGGAGTTCCAGTATAAATCGAAAGAGAAAACAGCCTTGCTTTTTCTAGATGAGATACAGCGTTAGTAGTAAACCGCTGTTTACATAGGCAGGCAAGCATATGTATATAGTGGTTAAGGAGAGAAAAGCGGGAACTTTGGGGACAGCTGGTCATCGTCTTTGACATTGGCGAAATGGGGGCATCACGGATCAATACTGATCCGCGGGGCTTCGGCTGTCTGCCGGACCCCCCTAACCGGGCATAGTCGCTTAAATGACTACAACCTTGACAACCGATGCTATTTTAAATTTTCATTTTTTATTACTTAATCATGACTCCTAAGCTCTCATCTGCGCGCAAACGCGGTAGGCCGTCACTGAACGGCGCCTCATCATCACCAGATTATCCAACCCAGCGAGCGTTACGCGCAGCGCAGCGCATTCATCAAACATGTGGCATGTGGCCAACTGAGCTCTGCAAAGGTTTTGTACCTGAGACTTGGGGTATTCGACTTATCGAGGGCCTTTCCGCGTTGGTCTCTCTGGTAGTGGCTGCTGAGAACGTGGAGCTCGACGAGGTGCGTCATAGGTTGAAGGTTTTCGCTACTAGCCACCCACGCTCAGATCGCCCGCGACTTCGTAAGTCAGATATCGCAAAGGTGCGAAAATGGTTACGCAGGATGGGAATTGATACTAAACAAACACGGCGATGGAATGGACGTGCGGATGATCAAGTTGATGAGGATGAGGCTGCGAACAGTGAAGGAACCGAGGCAAACTCTGAACCGGTTGATGAGATTATCGCGTTAGGCCCTCGAGAAGATCTCAGCGAAGATGACGATGAAGATGAAGAAGAGACTGAAGAAGATCCCGACTTGACTGTCGAAGAGGAAGAGAGCGCCCCTCATGAACGAAACCTTTGGCCGCGAAGCAGAGACATCAGTGATATTCCGGATGATGAGCCTATGGAGGACACCATGGCGGCCAATCCCAGGTCTGCGCCCGCCAAAACCAATGGGCAATCCAGAGGCAGTCCTGTCGCCTCCAGCTCCGGCTCCAACGCAGCCGAGTCAAGCGCTCGCCCTCGGCGCAGCTTTCAACCACCATCTCGCTTGGTTCATGATATCCCCCAGAGCTCTATTCGCCGTCCAGAGGGACCAGATGAACAAGTTTCGGCGTCTTCTGCTGCTACAACTCCGCGGGCTTTTCAAAGCTCAACGCAGCCGCGCGAACCACCAAGCTCCCAAACGACGGCGCCTCTCACCTCTGCTTCTCAGAACGCCCAGGGTGCTCAACGATCTGGTGTGCAACCGCCCAAGCAAACAGCGTCATCTGTTCCGGGCAATCCTCAGACTCCCATGTCTTTTCCTGCGACAACTCCACAGGGCACTACGCGCCCTCCGCAACGACAAGGCAGCCAGGGATCAGCAACCGCAGCTCAGAACTCTGTACGGCATCGCGCACAATCATCAGCATTTCTACCTACACCCCAGAGCGCGCGACAGCCTGATCAACGATCAAGTAGCCAGCGATCAATGGCTGCTACGAGTTCTCAAAGCTCCTCGGCTCCTCGCGCACAAGCAAGCTCGCAGCCAACAATGTCTCGTCGTACCAGTACTACTTCTCAGACCTCCCAGAGCTCTCAGCAGCAACCGAATCCCCGACCATCGGCGTCTACCAATGCGACTCCTCAAGCATCTCTATACTCCCACCTAGGAGGCAGTGAACCATCGACACCTCGTCCCATCGCCCCTACTGGGACTAACAAGCGCCCTGCTCCGTCATCGCCAGTAAAAACATTTGCATCTACCAACAACTTCATCAACGAGACAGCGGCGAGCATTTCAGAATCACTCACAGCTCCTTCAACCAAAAGACGAAAGACTGCTGACATTCGACGCCCAAGTTCACATGTAACTGGATCATTGGATTGGAACGCTCTTCTTGTAAGCAACATTTGCAAATACAGTCAATCCGATGCGGTCATCATAAACTGACTTCCTTTCAGCCCACCGGAGACGAATTCAGAGCAAGCTTGAAGGCCGCTTCGGCTGCCTTAGAACCTCATATCAAAAGCTTCGAAGAACTCTTATCATCCATCAACGACGAACACCGCCGACTCACCGCCGTTGAGCGCAGCCTCAGACTTACAAAGGACGAGCAAGTAAAGGACCAGAAAAAAGCCCAAGACGCGCTCAAGGATGTAGAGAAATCAGTGACCACCGAGAACAAGTTGCTCAGGGACCTGGAAGACCTCTACAACAAATATCCTGGGGACAACGAACTTCGCACGTTCCTGGATAAACGAAAAAGAACGGTTCTCGAACATGAAGAGGTATATACCGTAGTCAAAAGCCAACTTGACAAGAGTACTGCTGGACTTTTCAAAACCGACAGCAAGATTGCGTTGGTTACCAAGAGGATTGGGCAGCTTGACGCTGAGAAGGCTGAGGTCATGAAAGAGAAGACAGGGATTGATACGGCGGCGAAACGATTGATGTTTATGTCTCGTTTTATGGAACCCGGCTGGCAAGCTAGACTGGCTATGGTTGAGGAGGCTTTGGGAGAAGAAGTTATGCGGTCTGCATTTTGATAAGGGTTTCAATGTTGTGAGTGGTGGCTGAAGTTGTAATATAGGGATATCAGCTTTATTAAGCGTGGCGTTGGTGTGGAGGGGATACCTTTAGTTTATTGGGACAAGTAACGTATTGAAAGAAAACTATCGAGATTACATGGACTTGCTGTCATGGCCCAGAGGCTGAAAGAACTGCATGAAAAAGATTAGGCATTGAGTGCTATTACGCTGAACTCATGTTAGAGCCATGATATATTTATGAGATGGTTCTTGAAGAACTGACACTCCAGTCAATACCTAGCTATGGAAGAAGATGCAAGCCACTAACTCTAACTTCAGGCTGCCAACAAGATAACAAATAACACTATCTCCAGTCAATAGACTGTCACTAGTGTCTCGACGCCATTAATAAGTTTTGAGTAGTCCGAGATGAAGTCCTTTGGGAAGATGCAAGTGGGCGGGATATTCTAACCTTTGAAAGGCTTGTCTTGCTTAGTCCTTGGCTAATCACCCTACAACTCTTCCTCGATACTTTCATCATCCGCATCAATCCCTTCCCCTCCGGCTGCTTCCATCTGCTTCATGATACTCAGACTAACAGTCTGAAAGCCCTAGAGTTGGATTCCTAGATGAAACCATCTAGAGATATAAACCCGGGAAGAACTCTCATCTCAAGACAACAACAATCAAATTGCATAAAATATATTTTCACCCAGCACTACTGCGCAAGAAAAACAACATACCCTACCTCTTAGGCTCTTTTTCTTTCTAAGCTTTTATACGCTACCTTAAGAGTATATCTCTTTAAAGTCCCCTCTTTTATTATTCTTTCTTTATTATACTATATCTTTAGTTAGAGGAAAGCAACTGGGCAAGATAGCTTAGATAGTTTAATACTAACCCTATCCAAACCCTAAGCAAACCGATCGATGTTCTTGTCGCAGACAACCTATCTAGAGAAAGAACTTAAGAAAATTTGGAATGGACCAGTGTGCCCCCAATGCCATACCAGTTTTGACAAGCAAGTTCGGACACCCAGACCAAGGCTACAAGGTAGCGGAAGAGCTCAAAGAGTCGTACGGTACCATTATCGATCGTGTTCGTTCGTACACCTGCGCTATCTACATGCACGCGATCTATCACCTCAATCCTTCACTCGAGGCTTTTTGCGAGGTCGTCCAGGCCCACGTGTACTTTTGCGTTTCTTATTTGAAGCACCGCTAGCCAACTCCTCGGCCTCAAACTTCTCCAGTTCGCCCGGAGAAATCATACGTAGCTTAGACTCGTACTCCCACGTAGAGTCAGTGCGAGGATAACCGACCCACTGCACTTCGTACATGAACTTATCACCCTTGGACTTGCCAGGCTGAGTGGTACGGTTGAGAATCTTGAAGACGTGGTAGACGTCGAGGTTGGTAGCAGCCTCACGACTGTCACGGTTCTTCCAGTACTTGAAGACAAGAGCGGGAACTTGCTCTTGTAGACTCCATTCTGATTCCCAGGTGGTTTCGCCGCCCTCCCACTGGACTTTGATGTCGACGGTCGAATTGACGGTGTCAACGCGATGGTCGATGAAGTCGTCAATCGCAACGTCTTCTCTAGAGCTGGGATCGATGTCATCAAGCGCGTCTCCGCTAGGCTGCGGCTGCACTTGGCCGACGTCTTGCTCGTGGCTCTTAGGTTTAGCATATTTGTTGCGGGTAGCGGGCGCGTCTCGTCTAATATTAAGAGGTCCTTGGGTGGCAGTCTTGCGACGTTTTTCTCGTTGTAGCTTTCCGGGAGGAGCCACGTCATCCTTCTGGATAGGTGTAGCAGCCATACCGTCTTAGATCGTCAAAAGCAGAGATGGAAAGTCGTAGGGTTCTGGTCAATCAGCGTATGCAACAAGTTCTGATAAGGTCAGGGTTACCGTATTGCGCAAAACAGGTAAAAGGAAACAGATATCCTGATGGTCGTGATTGATTTGGTGGTATTCTGCCCGTTGGGCTGTGTTGAAGTGGTTGTACTATTGGATCACTGTACATGCTGGTCGCAAATTGAGCGTGACCGCGTCCGCCAGCAACGCGTTGGAATGGTGTGGGGCGCCAGAATCAGCCTGTTTTCGTGGTTTTGGTTAGATATATGGTCCTTAGTTATCAGGCACCCACCATCCCTACTACTACTGTACTACCCGTGGATCTGACCTAACGGAAACCCCACTCAGAGAGTGGGCGGCAAAATTCTGGGACAAGGGCAAAAATCTGGGACAGACCGTTACCCCGCTCAGTCTTAATTTCTATGATTTCACCACCTAAAACCTAAGAATTGAAAGACATTTCTAAGTACTATTCAGCTATATCCTGTATTTGAATTTATCTCTTCATCCAGACCTCCAAAATGACTTCTCCTTATGATCTCAACCCTGCCGTTGCTGCTGCACGTGCGATTTTGCTCTCACAGCGCCGCAACCGCAACACCAAAGAGAGCAAGCCTCTCACGGTACGAGATGCCGCTGAGAGATTCAAAACCTCCAAGAGCGCTGTTGGTCGTCATTTGAAGTCAATGAAGCTATACGGAAAGCCTGATTTCAGTGATAACAGCCGTGGGCGACCAAGGAATCTCGATGAGGCTGAAGAGAAGGCCGTGATCGCGTATATTATGTGGCTCGAGAGATCAGGATTTCCTTGTAATCAGCAACTTATCGAAGAAGCAGCAAATGAGCTGAGGGCATCACGAACGCCTCCAGCAGCTCCAGTTGGAGACGGCTGGTATAGGAGATTTCTTCAAGATAATCCGCAGCTACAAAAGAAGAAGTTAGTTCGAGCTTTTGACCGAGAAAGGGCGGGATTTGAAGCTGGAGATATCGCCGATCTCGAGCAATTTTATGCTAACCTTGGTGTAGTTGTAGAGGAGCGAGATATCGAGGCCTCACAGATGTTCAATGCCGATGAATGCGGTATTCGGATTGGTGCCCTTCGTGAGCGGCTCGAGGTCATTATCATCAAGAAGATGCTCAATGCCAAACACGAAGTCGTTTCTTTCTCTAACAGGGAATCAACGACGATGCTCGGATGCGCAAATGCAGCTGGATGTGAGTAATCGCCAGACTTCTTCAGAGTATATACTGATATGTTTTTTTTAGTCATGATACCTCCGTTAATGGTGTTCAAAACGTGGCCAACTGAATCTTGGGATGTTGAGGACCTATATGAAGCTATTCGCTTTGCTCGCTCTGAGAGCGGCTTCTCTAACGCCGAGATCTCGATGGATTGGATACGGCATTTCAACCGCAACTCGTTCGAATGCACTGCAAAGGCACAGTCTAGAGGCATAACATTTACTGACTGGTTTGGCTATGATGAATTCATGAGAGATCCTGATATTCCTGACGTTATTTGGAAGCAGCCGTACTTTGAGCGGCCTGAAAAGGAGCGAATTTGGAGACTTCTTGTTATTGATGGCTTTACCGGCAAAACCTCCATGGAGTTTATGGATTACTGCCTTCGCTTTGATATCGAGATCTTTATTCTTCCTCCTCATTCTACGCATCTTACGCAGCCTCTAGATGTTGGAGTCTTTCAACTGTTAAAGAACGCTCACCAACGACGTCTTCGGCATCATATCCGCGAAGGTTTTCTCAATTTTAAACGCTCTGATTTTATCAGTAAGCTAAGCGAGATTCTCACGGAAGGCTTCACTCCTCATAATATCATGAACGGCTTCGAGAAAAGCGGAATTTTCCCTGTCAACGGCGCAGCGGTTATTCAGAAAGTCAAGGAGAAGAAGAAATCTCTTCTCGCAGTTAATAATCCCGCTCTTTCTTCGCTTCTTCCAAGAGAAACACGATTTAAAGATGCTCGCGAAGTTGCTCGTCATCTCAAGCGCAATTATCGCGAAGGCTTTAGCTCCCCGACTCGTCAGTCCTTTGTTGTTTTGGAAGATGTTATCTGTGAGGCTGTTGTTCTGAATAGCTTCGCGGAAGAGCATATTCAGAGCCGACTTGATCGTATTGCAGCTTCAAATAACAAGAGAAATAAGAGGAAGAAGGTGATGCCATCAGGGAAATACATTAACAGCGTTACAGTTGAGCAAGTACGAGAAAGTCTGAACGCCTCAACGAAGAAAGACCGCGGAGATGAGCTTCGCCGCCAACGCCGCAACCTAAAGCAATTGCGCAAAGAAGAAGATGAGCGCTTAAAAGAGGAATGGAGGAAGAGCTATAAGTATGATATAAATAATAACGGGAAGCCAATTCATATCAGCTTTGAGCGTTGGAAGAAATGGAAGCAATTGGATATATATGATGAGATTATCTGTATGTCGCCTCTATCGCGCGAATCATCACCAACTACCCAAGAAGGCTTCTTTTATGATACGAGTGGTTCAGCACAGCAGAAACGCTTCCACGAGCGCCTTCGTAATGCCAGCGCTGCTGGCTTTTATCGAAGTCCTCTTCAGGATATGCCTGCCTTGCCTTCGAGCGATGGTGTCGAGATTAGGCTCGGCAACTCACAGAGAGATCCTGTTCTTGATAGCCTCACTCTTGGGGACTCTGATGAGTCGGAAATCGATGAAGAAGGCCCTGATTTTGTTGATCTGTCACAGGATATAGAGGAGCCCGAGCTGCCTCCCCTTCCTGCCCCTTTGCCCGGCTTCGAGACCAATTTTTCCTCCACTTATCACAGAATCATGAATACCTTACACCTCCAAACGCACACACAATAAGAGATAGTTATCCCTTCTACCGTTGGAGGCCAGATCAGAGGTAGAGGTGAAGGCATCGTGTGGCAGGGAAACGCGGCTAGACTGGCCTGTAGGCAAGGTTATTATAATCGGCCGTAACACCACTAAAAAAAAGCCTCGCATAATAAAATTCTTTTGGCAATAGCTTTAATACACTTCAATTGAGTCACAGCAGAAATTTCGAATTGATTGCGATAAAGTTAGAAGTCTGAGCCAGCGATTTCCTGATTTTCCCACCTATTTCTCACCTATCGGCTGTCCCAGAATTTTGCCCTTGTCCCAGAATTTTGCCGCCCACTCTCTGAGTGGGGTTTCCGTTAGGTCAGATCCACGGGTAGGCTATTGATCGTCTGCAGACATATATTGGACGCCATGACGGATCATGACATGGGATGCATGTATGTTTCGCCCGTAACAGGATGGAGCACGAAGCCACAAGTCCACTCTTGCACTGGTCCTCCGGAGCCTCGTCTCCCCACCAATTACAACTAACCCTGGTCTGTCCCCGTTCGATTGTGGCTTTGCCGTTCCAGACGGCGGTTCTGTTCCACCGTCTCCCGTTTGACTCTTATCTCAGCACAAACCCATGCCGCGCTGACTCTGCGGTAAACCAGATCTTCTAGGGCTTAAGAACCACAACGCAGCTGGGGGTCTTGACGGGTCGAACACTTCTGCCTCTTCGTTACTTCTCTTGATAATTTCCCCACACCAGATGGCCCTGTGCCTTGGAATTTTACTGAGATTGGTTGGTTTATTATCATGGACCTTGGATATTGTGCTTTAGAACACCATAGGTCGCGATCCAAGGAGAGCATCCAAAGTTATCGCTGGTGCGCTGGCCCTCATTTGCTAATATCCTAAACCTCAGCCAACCGATAGTGACAAATTTTCGATATGCATGTCGGCTGTGCCCGCATATGAGACAAATCATTCTGCGGATGGGCTGGCTTGCAGAGCTTGGCAGAAAATGGTTATTAGCGGGTGAAGATTAATACAGGAGGCTCATTCAATAAGCGAGTCCTCTATTTTGTGGCACTCAGTACTCAGTGATATCAGGTTTACCACTTAAAGTGTGACTTCTTATGTATACGGGAGTTATTCAGTCATGGGCAACGATGGATGTAGTAGAGGGTGTTCCAACTATAGATACCAGAGAAAAGCATGGAAATGTTATTATTATCCGATTAACCCCTACAAAGCCGACTGACTGCCTTGCGAGCAGACCGTGAACCATGTAGCAAGGATTAACTTGGGCAACGGACACGAAATTAGATTAACCTACAAATCGGGAATAGCTCCGCCCCACTGGCAAGGTGTCGAGTCTTGGCAGCTACTTGTTATGCAAGCATGCATGGCCCTAAAAGAAACTATTATTCAGTCTTACGCCATAAGTGAATCTCGAGGGAACCACGGCCGAGGAACTCTGTACTTTGGTGTTCAAAATATCATCCCGGTTTGCAGGCCGTCAAAGCGCAAGAATGGCTGCATGGTCTGCCGTTGAATTACGGAGTTATGTTGAACAGGTGCTGGGGTCTCACGTGCAAGCAGGGATATTTTAAGATTACAACCGAAATGGTAAAACCTCTAAGGGACAGAATTCAACAGGACACAACAAGGATATACCAATCTGGATCAATGGACCGCATACACGTAATGTCTGACAGGAGCGGCCTTATCTCCCCCTTTATTCAGCCTTTGGATGCAGCATGTTGCTTTTAGGCATGCAAGGACATCATGGAACAAGCGCAATTAAATCCGAGCCACAACATTTAAGGACTAGGTTCCACCCGCAGTCATCGCTGTGCGGGTGAGGACAAACCTTAATCAGGACGAGGCTGAAACACTTTGCAGACCTTTTTCTCAACATACATGGTCACATTGACATGGTGAAGCCGTTATATCCGGTCAACATTACCTAAAGTAGCGGAACGCATAGTCAGGGTGGGCTAGTGTCAGGACTGGGCTTGGCTATGGAGGCGTGATAGGTCCGTGCCCAAAGCCTCAACTGGTCTAACTAGTTATTGTGACAGTTGGGTTCCCAAGGTATTGATAACTGAGTCTGTACTAGGATTATGTTGGCAAGTTGCATATTGTAACGGTTGGGTTTTCAAACAGGTAAGCTAGTCCGTACTAGGTTTATGTTGGTAGATTTGTAGGGTGTACACTGAGCGTAGCGAAGTGTCACGTCTCATAATATTCAATAATGTGGGCAAGGCTTATTGAGGTAAAGAAGTTTTATTGATAGCCGGTGAGCTAGAGTCTAGGAAATGCTAATGAATGTGGTTTCTGTATACTGTCAGACATTACGTGTAACGTGGTTGATAAGCATGTGAGCCAGTTTTATT